TCCTTGTCCTTTTTGGTATTAAGATTGTACCAGCTTAAAAATATAAGCTGGGTGGGTGCCTGGGTGGCTCAGTTAAGCATCCAACTCTTGATTTCAGCTCAGGTCATGACCTCACAGTTTGTGGGATCGAGCCCCGGGTGGGGCTATGTGCTGACAGCGTAGTCTGTTTAGGATTCTTCCTCCCTCTCTCTCTGCCCCTCCCTCACAATCTCTCTCTCCAGCTTGCTTTCTCTCAAAATAAATAAACATTAATAAAATATGTATACAACCTGGGTGACCATCTCTTTCTATTCTCTGAAAGCTTATATAAGATGAACAATTTGTTTCATAATGGTTTAACTGAACTTTGTAAAACCATCTGGGCCCTGACAGCTACATGCAAAAGGGAAGATTTCAAAACCTAACAATGTTTTATCCTTTGATTTGTAATTACGTTGCATTATAGGCTACATACCTATTATCTGCCATTTACTGCATCTTGCTTCATGACTTGGTATGTAGTCAAATGTCATAAATGTTCTCTGTACTTAAAAATGTACATGATCTGGGGTGCCTGGGTGGCTCAGTCAGTTAAGTGTCCAACTTTGGCTCAGGTCACGATCTCATGGTTCCTGAGGTCCTGAGGTCGAGCTATGGGCTGACAGTTCAGACCTGGAGCCTGCCTCAGATTCTGTGTCTCCCTCTCTCTCTGTACCCTACTTCACTTGCATTCTGTCTCTGTCTCTCTCCAAAATTAATAAACACTTAAAAATTTTTTTTTTAAGTGTATAATCTAATTATTAGGTACAGGGTTCTATAAATGTCATTTGCTCAAGCTTGTTAAGCTTTTATTCAAATCCTCCATTTTACTAATATTTTATTTACTTGATGTATTAATTATCAAGAGAGGTTAAATAAAATAATACCATTTATCATTCTAAATGTCAATTTCTTAGGGGCACCTGGTTGGCTCAGTCAGAAGAGCATGAAACTCTTTTTTCTTTTTTTTCTTTCTTTTTTTTTTTTTTTGCACTGCCATCATTTTTTTTGAGTAGAGACACAGAGATACAGCACAAGTGGGGCAGGAGCAGAAAGAGAGGGAGACACAGAATCTGAAGCAGGCTCCAGGGTTCAACTGATTAAAGGCTGCATTCAACGTGGCTCTAATTCACAGACCGCTAGTAAAACATGACCTGAGCTAGTCAAATAATCAAATCAATGCCGAGCTTGCAGGTGCCCCCAAGAGCATGCAACTCTTGATCTCTGGGTTGTGAGCTGGGCCCCACATTGGGTGGAGAGATTACTAAAAATAATCGTAAACTTAAAAAATAAGTAAATAAATAAATGTCAATTTTAAAATATATATTGAAGTTACATATACAAATACATGACTTATCTTTTCCTAAAAATATTTTAGTTTTCCTAATGAATTCTCTCATTCTTAATGAATCTTCTTCTAAACCCTGATAATGTTTTTTGTCTTGAATTAATTTTTTCTTAAAATTAATATAATTGTGATCTTTTTTTTTTGGTTCCTTGTGTTAAGGTGTTTTAGACCTTCATGTAAGTATAACATAATTACTTGTTTGCAGCTTTTTTAAAAAAAAATCCCATCCTGAAGCAAAATAATATAAAAATAGGGAAGGGGACAAAACAGAGACTCTTAAATATGGAGAACAAAACAGATTAGAGGTGTTGTAGGGAGGGGGGTTCAATAGGCGTGGGCATCAATGAATTCTGCCTACCCCTGAAATCATTGTTGAATTATATGCTAACTTGGATGTAAATTTAAAAAATAAATTAAAAAAATGGGACTCGGGCGCTTGGTGCAGTTATTGAAACACTGACTAAGGTGGTGCCAGAAAGCCCATTGCCCGGGCTGATGGCTCGGAGCCTGAGCCTGTTTCCTCCGGCCTGTGCCTCCTCTCTCTCTGCCCCTCCCCCGCCTGCTCGCTTCTGTTTGCCTCTGTCCCAAAAATAAATAAAAAAAACGTTGGAAAAAAAAAAAAAAATCCGTCCTGGAGCCTCCATAAGGCTTTCGGTGTATTTCTGCTTTTTACATAATGTTTTATTTACTTTTGAGAGGGGGAGAGAGACAGAGTGTGAGTGGGGAAGGGCAGAGGAGAGAGAGGAGATGCCATGGTGAATCTGGAAGCAGTTTGGGAAGCTGTCAGCACAGAACCCAATGCGGGGCCGAACCCACGAACTGTGAGATCATGACCTCAGCAGAAGTCTGACACTTAACCGACAAGCCACCCACGCGCCCCTGTTTACATTTGTTTTGATAATTGACATAATTGAAATTATTTTCATCCATCTTATTTTGTTTTTAATATAGTACGCTTTTACTTTTTAACTTTTCCTTAAATTTTAACAGGATTATCTGAAAGTAGAATCAATACTATTATCCCTTCTAAACAGTAAGAACTCAGAAAGCTTTAACTCAGATCACTACCCTTCCCGTCTTATGCATTATTTTCTAGTACGGTATTTAATTCTTGTGCATTTATTTATTGTGTTGTTTTATACAATCACATTGCCAGATTAGTCTACATGTTTACCAATCTTTAACTTTGCCTCTTGCATGCTCTTCTACATTGTGGGTTCAATTTTCTCCTATAAAGTACAAGTACTTCAATAGTTCTTTCAGTAATAGTCTATGAGTAGTAAACTCCCCACTTCCAACTCAATATATTTATTTCTTCATTACTTCAAAGTTTTGAGAGTTAGTTTATGTTTCCTTGGCACTTCGAAGATATTAATCTATTAGTTTTGGCCTCTATTCACTCATGATAAGTCTGCTAAACTAACTGCCATCCAGTTACAAATAACTTATCTTTTCTCTCTGGTTCCTTTATTACTTTCTCTTTCCAGTAAAGGCCCAGAAATTTCATGAGGATGTACTGAATTGTCCATTCATATTCCTTCTACTTACAGATTGTTCATTTATTTTTAGGCACAGTCACATAAAAGAGAAAAAGTGATTTGAGAATGACTATTTTCTTAATTCTCCCTAAGACTATTCAGAACTAAATCCATGCTAAATGTATGAGACATTAGTGTTCTCAAACTGTAGCATACAAAACACCTGGGGAACTTATTTAACTATAAACTACTGGACTTCACCCACAGTTTCTGACACAGTAGGTCTGGAGTCCTGCCATGAATCTGCATTTCTAACAAGCTCCCAGGTGATGCTAATGCTAATGCTGATTCTGCTGGTCAGGTAATCATGCTTTAAGAACCACTGTCTTAGGATTTAGCATAATTATCTCATGGAACCCCAGTTGAGAAGGACTGTAGGGATTTTGTCCTGCTTCTTAAATCTAGAGATAAGTATTTATCATTAATTCTAAACAGAATTTAGCTTTAAATATTGTTACCTTCTGTTTCTTTCTCTTTCTCCCACTGCTTCTTGTAGAATTCCAACTACATAAAATAACAGCACTTAACTGTCCATTATCTGTCCAGACCTGCTCCAGTTCATTCTTTACACAGCCCCCAGGCTAAAAACAAAACCTGATCATATCACCTCTCCTACCCAAAATTGTTTACCGGCTCCTCTATACCTATAGGAGCAGGTCTTTTTTTTTTCCCCCCCATTTTACTTTAGAGAGAGATAAGAGCAAGCAGGGTGGAGGGGAAGAAGGGAGGAAGAAAGAGAGAGAAAGAGAGAGAATATCTTAAGCAGGCTCCACTCTCAGTATGGAGCCCAACATGGGGCTCAATCCCACGACCCTGGGATCATGACCTAAGCCAAAATCAAGAGTCAGACGCTGACTGAGACACCCAGGCGTCCCTGGAGCAGTTCTTTATGGGGAGGGAAAATGGATAGGCTTCAGAGTACATGTAAACTTTTGAGTATTTACATTATGTCACACATATTTTTTTAATACTACCAAATAGGCCTGTGTTCTAAGTCCATTTAAAATTGCTAATCTATTAAATTCAAATGAGTCAGTATGATACATAAAGCTTTTCTTAATCCATGCCTGCCTATCCTACCCTTGTACCATTTTGTGCACACCACGCTTTCAAAATTTCTCCATTATACACATATTATCTCCACCTAGAAGAGAATGTCCAATAGGCCTCCCACAGGCCTAACAAACTTCTTCTCCTCCCAAGAGTCCCAATATCACCTCCTCCTGGAAACCTTCCCCAATCCACTTGAGAGTTAACTGCTCCCCTGTATATTCTCTCTCAGCACGTTGTAAAAACATCCACTATTACACTGCACCCTTCTAATTACTGGTCTACAAAACTATCTTCCTTTATAAGAATATGAGTCATCTCCACCAAGAACTTAATCATTATCTTTAAATCTTAATAGTATATACCCAAATGTTTGTTAAATATATAAATATATTGCCTAAATATAATTTTTCCTTGGACTCAATAGACAGAAGAATGTACTAAGAATTTTCATGTCTGTTTTCATCTAGATTTTCAAGGGAACCGGAGATTCAGTGGCAGTAAATAGCACCTAATCTAGTTTTGTTCTCACATTTCTCCAAAATACTTCAAAGCATCAAAGCAAGGATTATGCCCCTGTAAGTTCTGACACCTGCAATGTCAGTACAACCAAGAGAAAAACACTGGAGGGTAATCAAATCTAAAAGTTCAAAAATCTTCATTTAAAAAAGAGAACTCTCATTTTATTTCATAAACACGTCTGCTTGCTTTGTCTATTTAAAACACAGATGCATATCACAAATTCTGAGATGCCTTGTCATTATTTATTAAAACACCCAATAAAATCCCTTTACAAAAGTATATACCATACAAAGGTAACAACAGCGAGTTGTTCTCTCCTGGGACAGAGGATGGAAATGTGAAGAGCCAAGAAAGATGTCCTTTGCTTTTTACTTTCCAAATGTTCTGGGTATCATCTGAATTTTTAAAAATAATATACCACTTTAGCAACCAGAAAAACATAATGAAAAAAAAAAGAGCCATATCCTATGTCATGCTATTAAGAAAACAGCTTAATTATGAAATTATTTTAATATTCTTCTTACCAGATTTAAGACCTGAAATTTTGAAGATGGCACTTGGTTTCCCATTTGTGACAAATCCTAGGAGTTGCCATACAGGCATCCCATTTGAATCAGGGTAGGAAAAGTAGACAGATCCTCCCATTCCCTCAGGAAACGGGATTGTTCCCAGCATAAAAACCACAACATGGTTGATACTTTCATAATCAGGCAAGTCAAAAACAAATTTATCCTCTGCCACTTGCTGTGCAGCTGTTTGCACCTAGAAAATAAGAAACTCATCTTAGTTCAATAGTTTGAGGAGTTTCTAGAACACTTACAGTATTGCTTGTTACCAAGTATAAGCAATTATAGACATTATACCCAGTATAACCTCAGGTTAATCTGATAGTCTATACGGAATTTCCAAATATACCAAAGTGTTAAATTTAAAAAGAAAATCCAAATATATACATATTCAGCCTTAAAATGATCATGTAATGAGTGTAACCTTTAAAAAACATAACTAAATTCTTTCTGAAGTGCCCTGAAAGGAATTTACTTACACAAGTAAATTACTATAGCTTCAGTATGTTACAGAAATGAAAGGCTGTTCAAAATACCACACCACCAAAGCCTTATCCTCTAGTATAAAGGTAAAGAACTTCAGGAAATTAAAATGGGTAAGCAATCCAGAAGGAATTAGTTAATCCTCATTATTTGCAGATTCCATATTTGCGAATTTGTCTACTCACTAAAATTTATTTCCAAGCACAAAATCAATATTCATCACCCTATGGTGGTCATTCATGGACATGTTAATGGGCAGAGCAGCAAAAATTCTGAGTTGCCTAATGCACATGTTCCCAGCTGAAGTGGAAAAAAGTTAGCTGTGCCTTCTTGTTTCAGCTCTCATACTGTAAACGAGTGTCCTTTTCACAATCAATTTACTGCCATGTTTGTATTTTCTGCTTTTTGTTGGTGATTCTGATATTTAAAATGGCCACACTGAAATGCTGGCTGGTATTCCTAAGTCCAAAAAGGTTGTTATGTGCCTTATTTAGAAAATATGTTACATAAGTTTCATTCAGAAATGAGTTATGGTGTTACTGGCTGTTAAGTTCAATGTTAATGAATCAACAACACATATTAAATAACATGCCTTTAAACAGAAACATACAAAAAACAAAGTTATGTAATGATAAGTTGATAAAAACTGTAATCAGAGGCTCAAAGAAACCTAACCCTGTATTTCCCCTAGGGGAAACAATTCATTATTTACCAAATCAATGTTCACAATGACTTCACAGAACCTAATTATTGTGAACAACGAAAATCAACTGTACATAAAATGCAAAAATTCTACCTCGAATGTGCTAAGTGGGAACCTGTAAAAGTTTCCTCTTGACTCATTTCATAATCTAACTTTCTGTTCTAGAATTGAATGTCAGTTTCTAGAATGAGATCTTATCTTATTTTGAAGTTTGAGAAATCTACTTACACAGAGAAAATTCTTTTATCGACTTCAAAAAAATTATTGGTAATTGCCATATCACATCCATTAGCAAAAAGTAGTAATTCTAGGGCACTCAGGTCGATAGGCGTCAAGAGTTAACATGATACAACGTTTTTTCGTTTTCTTTTTAATTGCTATGGCCATTGACTCTATTGACCAAAACACCAAATCTGAATCACTACCAGTATTTTAAGACTCTTAATGGTCAATTCTTATTACCCAGAATGTAACTTCTTTTCCTTCGCTAGTATTTGCTGTTACAAAAATGCTTATTTTTTCTTTTAATTTTTTAAGATGTTAACTTATTTGGGGGGGGGGGGGGGGGGGCTGGAGGGGCAGAGAGAGAGAGGAAGACACAGAACCTGCAGCAGGCTCTAGGCTCTGAGCTGTCAGCACAAAGCCTGAGAGGGCTCGAACCCACAAACCACCAGATCATGACCTGAGCCAAAGTCTGACACTTAACCGACTGAGCCACTCAGGTGCCACTACTTTCTTTCTTTTATAATATCCTAGCTACTCCTACAAAGAAACTTTAAAAATTTTTAGTTACATGTTATCAATAATCTAATATGAATTGTCCTAAATTTACTCCCAAGAGATGAAGGATGAATGTTCTTTTGTTGTTGTTGTTGTTTTGGTTTTATTTTGTTTTTGTTTTTGTTTTTTTAAGCATGAATGTTCTTAAAATCAAGTTCCGATTTCCTCTTCTGAAGTTTTCCAACCCTATTAAAAACTGTCCAGTTTAAACACAGAGAACAAAACAAAGGAAAAACATAAATATAAAGACAAACTGCCTGTATTAGTATTAAATTCAATTTCACCAGTTTTTGGCATGCACATAATCTTAAAAAAACATATGAAATTATGGTATTTACAAAGCATGAAATAGCCATCAGGCAAAACAAGTATTTGTTAAATGTCAACTCTAACAAGCACCATTCTGTAAATCTGTATTATGACACACTAATCCTTGACCTTAGGGGAAAGAGAACTCTTTTAGTTAAGAAAAAATTTTCAAGGAATGAAACTGAGTTCATAATTTTAGGTTAAGTGGGTGTTTCTGGTTAGAGAATAATGAAGTTAAGTTTTGGATGTCTCTAGGTCTATTTGCCCTTCATTGTGATTAACATGTTCTTTGATTAACTAAGAATCAAACACCTCCCAAAAAGCTTATCTTTAAGAAACCCCCTACTGGAGGAGCACCTGGGTGGCTCAGTCAGTTAAGCCTCCGACTTCAGCTCAGGTCATGATCAAGTTTATGAGTTCGAGCCCCATATCTGGCTCTGTGCTGACAGCTCAGAGGCTGGAGCCTGTTTCAGATTCTGTCTCCCTGTCTCTGCCCATCCCCCACTGTTTCTCTCTCTCAAAAAAAATAATAATAATAACAATAATAAACGTTAAGAAAGAAAGAAAGAAACCTCTACTGTATTTCCATTACAGAGGTTAGGTGTTAGGTAAGTAGACACAGGTATTGCTATAATTAAATGTCCTCCCCAATCAGTTGACAACGTGAGAGATACATGGATCTATGTGCTTTTCTTTAAAACACACACACACACACACACACACACACACACACACACACACGGGCACCTCCGTGGCTTAGTTGCTAAAGCATGTGACTCTTCATCTCGGGGTCATGAGGTGAAACCCACGTTGGACAGAGAGGTTACTTAAAAATAAATAAAAACAAAACACATACACACATTTTAAATACCATTCATTAAAGACACTCATTCATACAAGTCCCACACTCACCCCAGGCTGGTCCTTTCATTTTCCCTGCCAACAGCAGGGAGCAATCCAAAGTTATCTCACCAATATTACCAATTACCACCATCACCAAAAGTGGCCTCCCAGTCATTCAAGAGACTGACAATAAACTTTCTGTGGCTAGTCATCTCCAATTTATCTTTGTGGTTTCTTAATGTACAGAACAAATTATCAAAAGTTGGTAAAAATTTTAATTCAACAAAGGGGCTGCAAAATTTAACTAAGCAGGGAGAAAAAAAGAAAGAAAAAGAACTCTGGGTGAAAGGAGTCGAGTCTGAAGTGGATTTCTGGGTGGCTTCTAAGGAAAGCAAGGTTCATTCTCTTGATTATTCTCAGATTATTCCTGAACAATTCTAGGTGCTGATCTCATTTAACGCTAATCATCTGGCAAGGGAGGTTATTATCTCTTTGGACCAGTAAGGATTTTCGTAGCTCATACCCTTCTGGGGTACCTCAGCTATGACTCACACTTAAGTTTTAGGTGTTTCTATCAGCCAACTTCCAATTACCGTAAGCTTATTTTTACTGGGGTCCTTCCAAAAGGCCCGAAAAGGTATATACACTGCCCCGGTACCTTAATCTTTTAGAAACAGTATGTTACAGACTAGATTCAAACGCCAGGTTTTTCTCCAACTTATTTTATGAGCTCAGGCGTGTATTTAAACTGCCTACTGAGGGGCGCTTGGGCGGTTCAGTCGATTAGGCATCCGACTTCAGCTCAGGTCATGATCTCTCGCTCCGTGAGTTCGAGCCCCGCGTCGGGGTCTGTGCTGACAGCTCAGAGCCTGGAATCTGTTTCAGATTCTGTGTCTCCCTCTCTCTCTGACCATCCCCCATTCATGCTCTGTCTCTCTCTGTTAAACGTTTAAAAAAAATTTTTTTTTTAAATAAACTGCCGATTGAGCTTAAGTTCCTCAACTGCAAAACAGAAATTATAACTATCTCACGAGTTACGAGGGTTAAATGTGAAGTGCCAAATTAGCGCTACCTAGAAGGCTGAAATTATGAGAAAGGGACAAAAAGCGTGCATTGCCAAGCATATAGATAATCCACACTCGATAAATGGTAGCTAACGTGGCTACTATTTAAATGACTGAACAGAGCTGAGGGCAAAGAACGAACACCCCAACACCCACTCTCCACCCTAGTATGTAGCTGGAAAGAACACTTAGGGGGTTTCCCCGCATCTCTTGCACCGGAGCACCCTCCCCTTCCCGGGGCTTCGCCCTCGGGTGTCCTGCCCCCTTCCTGTTACCACCCGGCCCCATCCTCACCAGCCTCCCTGCCACCAAGCAGCCAAACATGGCGGCGACTCCGCTCAGCCGGCAGGGACCCGAAGCCGGCAACTAGAAGTCCTGGGGCTCCTGCCCTAGTCGAGCCCAAGAACGTTCCAGAACATGCGGGACGACGCCTGCCCCTCCACTACATAGCGACTAGGCCAGTGGCAGGAACGCCTTCTGCCCCTCTCGGCCTCTGACCCCACTTCCTAGCCAGCAAGCCCCTCGGGCGACGAGTACTTCCGGGGCTTACAACCAGCCTCCCCAACTAAGGGAGAAAATCATGCCAGAGCCTGTTCAAGACTACAAATCCCAGAGGGCCCTGCGTCGGTTTCCGGTTTCCGGGAGGAGCGTCACTAGGGCAAGTTTTTCAGGATTGTCCAGATCCCAAATTCCCGAACTGCGGGCGGGTAGTTGTTTCTCACTGTTGTGTGACATTTAGAGATTACACTGCGCTTTACAATAATCACTTCACTAGATCCTGGCAAAAACCTTATGAAGTAGGTATTACTGTCTCCCTTTTGGTATGCCAGGAAATTGCCCAGGGTGACCAGCTAGTCCCTAATCTTTACACAGCACTAAATGTTGGAGCTTGAATCCAAGTCCTCATCCAAATCAGCTCTTTCTGCTACACGGTATCTCAAAAATACTAATTTTTAATCAGCTGTTTAGTACTTATTGGCAGCTTTATTGTTCGTTTCAGCTTCACTTAGCTCCCCCATTTATTTTCTGTAAGACTGTAAGCAAGATACTATATAACTTTGTAACTTAGCGCTTTTATGTCCCCATTTGTAAAATAAGAATAATAATTGTACCTGTCTTATAGGATTGCTGAGAGGATTAAATGAGTTAGTATGTATAAAAACAATAGGTGGCAGCGCTTAATTTATGGGGTTTTTAAATGTCTTATTTTTTTCTATGTGCATTTGCAGAAAAGATTCATAGGAAGTGAAAAACAATAGCCAAAAGAACTGGCATCAAGTACTGATTGACACCAATTCGAATTCTCCTTTCACAGCTTAATTATCTTTCTTCTTATATAGGAAGGTAGGGTATCCCCTCGCAAGGGTCTCTACCCTACTTGAAATACCAGTCATCAGCAGGTCTGTCCTCCCAAACCCAGGTTACATATGGAGGATCAGAGAGTTTGTAACAATCCTCTGGCCTCCGCTTTGGTTCCAAAAACTGCAACCACTTATCTTCTTTCAGATATTCCTTTTAGATAGCCAGGCCAAAGGTGAAGAGAGAGAAGAGGATGTTTCTATCAATGTCTCCAACTTCCTACCTAAAAAGTCCTAGAACCTTCAAAATAGAAAGACCATTTGTGATAAGATCACTTCTTGAGGGGTAGGTACACTGCCTGGGTTCGAAGTCCTTCTTTATCATTTATTAACTATATAACCTTAGGTTAGTTAACCTAACACTCTCATTCCTCCTTTTCTGCATCTATAAAATGGGATAATAATAGTATCTGCATCATAAGATTGTTATGAAGGTTCTTGCATTAAAAGTACTAAATATAGCCAGAATATAGCTTAATAAAATGTTAGCATTTAGCATTATTACCTTTCCTGACAGATTTTCTATGTCTTCATAACCACCATGTACTCTGTGAAATAATAAAAAATAAATATGTTGGTCTCCACCCCTAGTTCCTGACATAGGACACTAAAATGCTTGTAAATTCCTAAGTGCCTAAGTGATAAGAGCACTACAGAGCATCTTTTATTCGAATGAGGTGATTCTGGGTAGACTCCTGAATGGGGGTGGGTCCCCAGAAAGACCAAGCCATGATTAGAAGCCTGGAATTTTCAGCCCCATGCCCCATTCTCCAGAGAAGGAAGAAGGATTGGAAATGGAGTTATTAATTGATCTTGCCTTTGTGAGGAAACCTCCATAAAACCCCAATAGTGTGGAGGGTGACACACCACACCCCATTTCCAAGAGAATAGAATCTCCTACACTTGGGACCCTCCCAGACCTTGTCCTATGTATCTCTTCATCTGGCTGTTTATTCTTTATCATATCTTTTAACAAACAGGTAAACACAAGTGTTTCCCCAACTTCTGTGAGCTCTTCTAGTAAATAGTAGAATCTAAGAGGGAGGAAATCATGGGAACCTCCAATTTGTGGCTATGTTGGACAAAAGTTGTGGGTAACCCAGACCTATTACTTGTAATTGGCATCTAAAGTGGGGGACAGTTAGGGTGCCTGGGTGGCTCAGTTGGTTAAGCATCTTACTGGGGCTCAGGTCATGATCTCAGGGTTCATGGGTTCGAGCCCCACATCAAGCTCTGTGCTGTCAGCTCAAAGAATGGAGCCTACTTTGGATTCTGTGTCTCTCTCTCTGCCCCTCCCCCACTCATGCTTTATCATTCTCTCTCTCAAAAATAAACATTAAAAAAATTTTTTTAAGTGAGGGACAGTCTTGTGGGATTGAGTTCTTAACCTGTGTGATCTGATGCTATCTCCAAGTAGTGTCAGGATTGGGTTAAATTGTAGGACACCCAGCTGGTGTCACAGAATTATTTGGTATGGGGAAAAAAAAAATCCACACCTTTGGTGTCCGAAGTGTTGTGAGTATGGTAGTAGTACGAGAGTGAAGAGAAACCCAGAGGAAAGACCAGATTTTTTCCTTTCTATACCCTTACCATACATTTGATTCTCTGAGCAATTCACACTTTCCAATCTTTCTGTGCTTACACAACTTATGTTATGTGCCTATAATACTTACTTGGCAATTTCATATACAACCTCCCACTTGACTCAAATATTTTCTTCAGGAATCTTATCCCTTGATAATTAGTCATTCATTTTCTTACACAGAAGTTTTATTTAATGGTTTGAGAGCTAGCTAACTTAGAAATTATTTTTATAAACTAAAGTTGCTGTTGATTAATTATCCCAATCTTTGTTATGTGGAATTTCAGGCTTTTCTCCATTTTGCTGGTGAATAATCCAGATCTAACATTGGGCAAAGAATTAGAAGCAGTGATTTTAGTATCCTTTCTCCAAATTATAACAACCAGCCTTTTACTCACCAAGCTATATTATTTTTACATACAATAGCTCTTTGTAACTAAAGACAGCAGAATAGGATAATGGAAATGAAGAAAAACATTTTAGGGGAAAATTTTTTTCTAATAATCAGAGCTTTCTGAAATAAGAATAGACAGACATGGGACAGTGAATTCTCCTATTCACACCAACATTTGAACCAATGCTGAAATCCATTTATGTTATATTATTAATGAGTTTCGTGAAAAACTTCATGAAATTGCCCTAGGACCTCAAAGTTACCTATCAGCGCTCACTTATATGCTTCTATGGATAAACAATAAATTCATTGTTAAGTCTGGGCCAGGGAATCAGGAATTCTGAATTCTAGTTTTAGCTCTTTCATTAACTAGCCTAGGAATGAGGTGATTTGTTTCATTTTTGGGGGGCATTAGGTTTACACACTTCCAGAATGAGAGCATTGAATTCTGACTTAAAGAGAGCAAAAATATTTTTTCTCTTTTTTTAAGAAAAATTTTCTTTTCCACAACAAGGAGAATAAGAAATAGAAGCACAAACTCCATCTTCTTTGAACTAGAAGATATCTGTAACTCCAAGTCAAAAAGATACCAACAGAAAGGAAGAAAGAAAGAAAGAAAGAAAGAAAGAAAGAAAGAAAGAAAGAAAGAAAGAAAAAAGATACCTATCAAAAGTGGGTGAAGAAAGACAAATGACTTAGCAGAACAGAGGAAGGTCAAATTCAGGTACCTACAGAGAAAGATAATAAATTCCAGAGAAGCTCAGGAATTGGAGTTGCTAGGGACCACAGAAGGCAGTGGTAAGTCAGTAGACTGAAACAGGTACACTACTTAAAACTGATGCAAGATTTTATATCTGGTTCTCATCTATACATCTTCGATTGGCATAAACTCTATTTTATTTTATTTTTTTTAATGTTTTTAATTTACTTTTGAGACAGAGAAACAGAGCATGGGTAGGGGAGGGGCAGAGAGAGAGGGAGACACAGAATCCAAAGCAGGCTCCAGGCTCCGAGCTGTCAGCACAGAGACTGACGCGGGGCTTGAACTCTCGAACCACGAGATCATGACCTGAGCTGAAAGTCGGACGCTTAACCGACTGAGCCACCCAGGCGCCCCGGCATAAACTCTCTTTAAAAAAAAAAAAAAGAATCAAAGAGGGCCTAGGCATTAGGAAAGTAGCTACTGAAGAAAGTGATTATGGGGCGAGTCCACCATACATAGATTAGTTCTTGAATAAGGACACCCAGGTAAGAGATGAGCATTTGGCTCACCAAGTCAAACACACCAGTGTGAGACTAAGTCCACCCAAAGGGACAATGGCTCTTTCTAAAACATCCACTTGGAGGATGGGGGATGACTTTTTCTATATCATTCAGGCAGGGAGGGATATCTTTTACTAATTCATCCATAGGGGAGAAGGAGCATGTTTTAAGAATTCATGTAAAAATCCAACACCCTTTCATGATTAAAAAAAAAAAAAAAACATTCAACAAACAAAGAATAGAAGGGAATTTCCTCAACCTGATAAACAGAATCTACAAAAATCCCACAGCTAAATCATACTTAATGGTGGGAGACTAGATTTTTCTAGTTTTCTCCTGAGATCAGGAACAAGACAAAGATATTTGCTCTAGCCACTTCCATTCAACATTGTACTGCAGGTTCTAGCCAAAGCAAATAGGCAAGATAGATAGATCAGTAGATAAATAAATAAATGGCATCAGATTGTAAATCAAAAAGTGAAACTATCTCTATTGTGACATAACTTGGTATATAGAAAGTCCTAAGGAATACACACACACACCCCCACACCCACACACACACACATACAATTAGAACTAATAAATTCAGCAAGGTTAGAGGATATGAGATCAACATACAAAATCCAGCTGTATTTCTAAACACTTGCAATGATCAATCAAAAAATGAAATTCTGATGACAATTTCATTTACAATAGCATCAAAAAGGATAAAATACCTAGGAACAAATCTGACTAAAAATTGTAATACTTGTATTCTGAAAACTACAAAACATTATTGTAAGAAATTAAATATCTACATAAATAAAAAAGCATCCCATGTTCACGGGTCAGCAGACTTAATATTGTTAAAATGGCAATATTCCCCAAATTGGTCTAAAGATTCAA